TCGGAGTCGTAGGGCCAGGTGGTCTTGCTGATGCAGGAGTCGAAGAGGTCACGCAAGTACTTGCCGTCGTAGTTCTTGAGGGCGTCCATGTCATGCTGGACGTCGAGGAAGCCGCCGAAGTTGGATCGGTGGACGATCTCATTGAGGGAGAGGGAGTAGGATTGGGAGTCGGCAGCGGCAGCAGAGGAAGGGTCAGCGTTGAAGGGGACATAGTGGGCGAAGAAATTGTGGGTGTGGGGTTGTGAGCTTCGTCACGAATGTTGCGGCAATGGAGGATTGTGGAGGACGGGGAGGGTTGTGGATGAATTTCCAAATTTATCCTCATTTTTGACAGAAAATTTAACAGAGTTTTACAGAGGGACTAATGGTGCAACAAAACACATACTTAAGTGACCTCTACAATTAATAATTGAGTTGAGTGACCAAATTGTAACTACGGATATAGTTAAGGGATCATTGCTACTAATAAGCCTAATTTATATTGTTGATATATTGCAAGAGGAGGCGCCCCCCTCCTTTTTTTTTATTTTTCCCCGAGATCAAAACAACCTCGTTTTGGCTAGGAGTTAAGGGAAAAAAAAGAAAGAATAGGCGCTGCTGCGCAACAACGCATCAAACTCAAAATAGAAGATGTGCTGCGACATTTCCACAAGCACTTGGTGGGCAGCTCCAAGGTACAAACTCTACCAACTCCAAGCTGTTTTTCGACCGGTCCAGTTATTTTTTTAAAATAGTCCGGTTCTATAGGCCTACCTAATGTTTCAGAGTCCAATTCTCTTCAAAAAAATTCAGTGGCCCAACTGCAATCATAATTCAAAAGCCAAGGTGCGGAGCCCAACGTTCTCTCTCTCTCTTCTGTCTTTCTTTTGCTTCCCTTCCTCTTTTCCTTGGGCTGGTAGCCACGTGAATCACTCTCTCTCCCTCTCTCTCTCTCCTGCATTGAACAAATCTTCAATGAACAAAACGCCTTACAACCAGTTAATTCAAATTTATAAAACTCCATCTAACCAATGCGTTTCGTAATCTTTTTCTTCCTTCTTAATAACTAAGGTATATTTTGCAAAATTGGGCAATCAAAATGAAACCCAAATTAATCCAAATTCACGTTGAATTGGATTGAGTTCATATTTTTAGGTTGGGTTGACCTTTCGACCGGCTCGCCCTTTCCAATTATGTCACTTCATATTTATGTTGAATTATGTTTAGCCCACCCTATAACTAATCCTTATCCTGTTATAGGATGATTGACCAAAACATCCATGTTATATTACGACATGACACAAGTCCAACTTGTTTATTACATGTGTCTATACTGAATAAAAAATTTCCTGTACGAGACATTTTCATGTGAATGGTCACATGATCTTGAAGTCAAATTATCTCATACAAATGTAATAAATAAAAACTCCTCAATTAAATTATAGCATAACCAATAGAGAAATCCTTTAACTCTGTAAATTCAAAAAATACCATCAAAAGAAAAGAAAGAAAATTGCAAACAAAAAATAAATAAATTTCAGCAAGCTTGTGTCCAGGATAAATTATTTCGTGTTTCTACTTGGATTTATTCTAGTAGGGTGTGCGATTTTATGTTCTTGATAATAAGTTATGATACTCGTTAATTTTGTGTTAAATTTTAATTCTTTTATCTTGTTATATTTAAGATTATTCATAGCGTTCCTAATTTATTTATTTATTTGATTATTTTTTTTTTGGGAGGGGGGGGGCCAAACCCCATAAAAAACAGAATGCCTAATCAATACAAATCACTCGTGATCATAAGCTAACGCAAAGCTAGTCCAAATAGGAGCTAAAACAAAAGTCTAAATATCCAAGTCTACATTATGGCAACGTTCCTAATTTATTTGTCGTAACGTAATCTGGCCCATTTCTTTGAGTCTTGCTTGTGCGTGAGTAGCCCATTTTGTGCTCCTATTTCATTATGTCTCTGTCATTTTGGTCTGCTTCACACATCTTGTGGTTGTTGTAAATTGCATCCAGATGGTGCCAATTTTGACGGCAAATCCTTCACAAATTTGCATGAAATGACACCATTTGTTCACCACATAATTATGTCGTACTGCCACTTAAAAATTTTAATTCATTTTTCCCACTTACGATTGAATATAAAGTGTTTCAGCCACCAAGATGTTTTCAACGCCAAAGCATTCTTCACCACATCCGATGTGACAATAAGAAAAGTAGAACGTGTTTCTAAGGACAGCCAACCCAAAACCATCTATTCAATCTCCTCTTTTTTTTGTTGATGCTTTCGATAGATGGTGTGAAATATCGATTTCTTTTGTCTTTTTTCTTTTTGGTTATAAAAAGTTAGGGGAGGGACAAGTTACCACCACACCCACGACGACAAATGCTTGGCCAGGGCAAATTTGCTGCCTAGAATTGGTTGGACTAACGTAAGGGACCATTATCCCCCTATATTCCTCGGCATAGAATTACACAAGATATTTTCTAAATGACCAATTAATATGGTACTGCTGGCAGTAGGTATTGAACTCGGTTGAGGCTCAATACACAGCTTGCGCATTACCAACTGAATCAACCCATGTATACAATATCAAATTCTTTCACATGCTTTAAAGTCATATTAGTATTAGGGGTGCCTAAAATATAATAACCAAATAACATTATGCCCATGTTATTATGTGAACATATATTCTAAAATATTGTCTCCATATAAATATGTATAGATATATTGAAACAACGTAAAAAAATATCGTACCCGTATAAATATGTGTACATAAATTTATACAAGTATATAATTGAAACAATAAAAAGGTAACTATGGTATATAAACGTGGACACCCAACAGAACATACCCCATGGCAACGTGGATTGACGATAGGGGTGGTGGTGGGGGGGCCATGCTTTCTCATGTTGATAGACAACTAGAAGTACAATTTTTCACAGTGAGTTTGAACGAGGGAAATAAAATTAAAATTTGGACAAAAGTCAAATTTTTTAAATTGACACACACTAATTCTCGTGTTTAGATTAATAAAAAAACATAAAAATTTAGAAATTCTACGTAGCAAATAACATGGTAACCGTTAAAAAAATGGTAAGATATTTTTACAAATTTTAAACATATATTCACGCGGTATACAAATATTGCCTTTGCATCTCTTTACTATGGTCCTCACACACAGCGTATAAAAATATTGCCCTTATGTGTTAATAATAGTACGGGGAGTAGTCTCCTTCAACCAGGTACGTGCGCAGGCAGATGGGGCACGGAAGACCTTTGCGCCGGAAATCACTGTTTATAATGCAAACTACGAGCACACCTGACACCAGTCTGCCCCTAGCTAGCTAGTCCAACAAATTGACCAACAACCTTGAGAGCTGTGTATAAATATTATAACAAAATCTCAAAAGAAATTAAAAAAGCAGGAAATGCAAGGTCTCGTATTTTTCTAAAATCAGTACGGCAAAGAAGAGATTATAACAATTAGTTTTTACCAGCATGATTTTTACGGGGATGGGGGCGCTTTCTCCGGGGTAAGGTTCTTTTTTCTGCTTGCGGTTGAGAGGGAAGACTATCTCGCTGACCCTTTTATGTAAAGAGGCTCATCTAATCATCTAGAACGTATAGCCCGATTTTTGTATACTTGTTTCCGATTCTATTTTCAATAAAATGCTATCGCTAATTCTAAAACAAAGAAGAAGAAAAAAGAGAGAGATATTATAATAATTGCATCTTAATGGGGAAAACTATAAAATAGATGAAGAAAATCCGTTAAAACCATGGCAAACAGATTTCCCCCAGAA